TATTTGTGGATCAGTTTCACTAAAAAGCTGAAGACTTTTTATGACCCGATATGTATACTTATAACTACATCTTTATTTATCTTTATATCGGTTTAAAGGAACAGTAAGCATTTCAGTGAAACGGATTCACGAATCATGACCTCGGACGTAGTTAAAGAGAATAAGAACAAACCATTTGTAGACTTAACATGCATGCAAATTCGTTTGATCCTTAAACATGACAATTCTTGGGCCTTATTAGGCCTCTTTGATGGATGTAATAACCAGCAGAATTTGTCACCGAACGATATATATATATATATATATATATATATATTTATATATATGTTCGCTCCACACAACATTCGCCCAAATAGATAAGCTAAGCATGTTTCTCATGCTTAATTTATAAGTAGTCTTTCGAGACTACCAGTAGATCATTTATACATGAAGTGTATTCGCCCTATTTCGTTTAAGGTGACAAAGCGACCGGCAGCTGAATTTTTCCCAAAAATTATTAGTAGACCCTTTTTTCATTGAATTTGATATATATATATTTAAATATAAATAAATAAATAAATAAATATTATATCATAATATAATACTTATGATAGCCCTCAAATTTTGTGGAACTAAGGGCAGAAATATATTAGTATTACCATGTAAGGATAGGCGGCTAATATGGAAATGTGCAATCCCAAATATTACTTTAGAGAAAACAGATATATTATATATTATAGATAAGGATATCAGGAGAGAGGTAGTTTAATTTTTCATTTTATTATGTGAGTAGAGCTGATGTTTCCATTAAATTTCACATAGCCTTGCTTTCTCAAAAGCTATTCTCATCCATCCTCATCCTATGTCTTATCAACACCCCCAGCGGGACTCGAACCCAGAAAGTGCAGCGTATACATTCGATACGTCATTCCCTACAACCACAATTTGCTATAGCAAATCCAGGTTTGCTTCATCGACAATCCCACCAAAGAGTATGACATAGGAAAATGCCTGGTCTTCCTTGAGATTCACATCTGCCCTGTGACCCAATGGCACTAGTGGCAATGTGGTGTGATAGTCAACGTGTCGAGGTTATGCGCTGCACTACTAAAAGCGGGTTCGAGTCCCGATGCGGTGTTGCTAAGACACAGACGAGGTCGAACCTGCAGTCCGCTCTGGAGGAGAACAACTTTTGGGAAATCAGGGCTATATGAAATTCGATGAAAATGTAGGGGCTATTAATAATCTTTTGGGAAAAATTCAGCTGCCAGTCGCCTTGTCACCTTAAACGAATTGGGGCGAATACACTTCATGTATAAATGATCTACTGGTAGTCCCGAAAGACTACTTATAAATTAAACATGAGGAACATGCTTAGCTTGTCTATTTGGGCGAATGTTGTGTGCAACGAACATTGTTCTTTCGTCTATTACATCATCATCTCCTTACCTTTTGCATACTATGTACCCTGTGGTTGAGCATACAAGGGCAGATTTTCACCACAATCGAGGGTGTGTTTGGTGCTAATTGGTAAGCTGTCATCATTATTTTCATACTTTTCTCGGGCTTGGACGCATGCATATGGGATTAAGAGAGACGAATATTTCTCTTGGGCAATAATGTCTTGCTTGCAGCCGATCTCTAGTTTCCTCGAGTCTGAGTCCGGCAGCTACAGTCCGACCGGTACACTTTTTGCTTCACTCGGCTTTGGCATCGGCTTGAATCAAGCCGCCCTGAGGTAGACGATACCGGGAAAGTCTGGTCCGAAACACTGTCAGGACTCGAACATGCGGTTGACGGAGCTTCAACTCGAAGGACAATCACTTTCCCCCTTATGCGACCGTAACCACACGAAGATCGCCATGGCGACAACACTCGGAGCCTGCATTCGAGGTGTTGATGAGGAGAGGATTTGCAGACAATTTAATCTGAACTTGGGTTGCCGACTTCACAATCTGCCGATTTTAGATAATTCGAACAACCAGAGATGCTGTCTGGGCAAATTTGTCGTCACCTTGACGACAAATATTGGATAAATCGACTTTAACGGGTACATGAGGCAAAAAGCAAGCTCGACCGATTGTCCGATGAACCGAGACAACAGACCGACTTGCCGATTGGTCCATTTCGACCCAGTTGACCTCGGTTTCCGAGCCACCCTATTCCATCTGGACATGTTCGCGTTTTTTTGGACTCTCCAATCGGCAAAAACAGCAATTCGCAAAGTCTGAAAATAAACTCCACCGTTAAACGGTCACTCCCTTATCTGATAGTGGGAACATGACTGCCCAAATAAAAAATCCCACTTTTTTATGGAGTCGAGAAGGTCGAGGGAGTCAGCTGCCTGGCAACCCAGGATCGGGCCTTTGGACAAAGGACGAGCTTGTCTCTACACTAACCCCTCCACCCACCCCCCTTGTTGGCACTAACTGGGGCTCTAAAGACAAATAAAGTATGGCGGGTATGTGGTTATTGTTGACCGAGCTTAGGCGGTTGCCCATCTTCTTTACCCATTTCCAACTGGGCTGTGATTAATCAGAAGCAGCAGCCGTTCGAAACCGTCGGATGAACTTGCCCTCTTTCGGTGCTTCGCACCAGCTCCACAACTGCTGACACTTTTCCAGACGAAATGACTTTTTGCCTCCACCTTCCAGATGATTCGGTCTGCCTACAACTGGCCGAATACACAACTACTCGCTTACACACCCATATACATACACACACACACATACATGTTGACATACATACACAGATAGACGCATAAACAAACAATCATACTGTCCTATTCGGGCTCTTTTCACGCCTCCCCTCGTGGCTAGGACAGCTCCAAGGGCAGTGCAGTCTAGTAAAATGTGAAAAACCCTCGAATACCATCTTCAGGAGTGGCAATTCACAAAGTTCTCGCCTCATGAACTGCCGCCAGACATGCTCCGATTTGTAGCCAGTGCATGTGTTGGGGCTCGGACAAAGTTGAACTAACTTTCGTTTCAAGTAAAAATGGACGTGATGGAACGACTCTGGGGCCAATCTAACCAAAAAACGGTGTTATTGTGTCGTTTACCGTCATTGAGACAGCTATGTTCGATTCCCTTGGAAACATGTCCATCCTTCATCTGTCCTACGGCATTCTTGAACTGGCCATCCATACAGATACACATCTGTGTTTGTGTGTGTGCGTGAGTATGCTGTTCTTGCGGACATACGAGACGAAAGAGTGATATGGGCTGGAGCATCAACTCTACGATTACGTAATGTGGTACCTGGGGGTTGTGGACATTTTCATTTCGTATAAAAGTGGCTCAAATCACACGATTCTCAGGTCAATCTCACCGGAAAAAGATGGCTAATTCTCATTGTTCAGCAGTCGTTTATGTAGTTGTTTTGGGATGAAAATGCATTAATTGTAAAAGTCGCTCTTAAAAAGCCTCAAGTTAAGGCAAGAAGACTTTATTCTTTATTCTTTATGTTATATATAAATATATATATATTCATATATAACAATAAAAATATCAAAATATAACTATATAGATATAGAATCATTTGGTTAGTTCTCTTTCATATTAATTGAGATACTTATACTTTTAGTGTCGCTTGTCTGTAGGCGTGTACAGTAAAATAATGCAATAATTACGAAGCATATTTATTTCCTAACTCGGTTTCAAGACGACAAGAATTCCATATTCACCATCTTTCGTTTGAGGTGGCTAAGGTGATTGATTGCTGAATTTCCCACAATGATATGAGTAGATCTTACGTTTCCATCGAATTTCACACAATCTTGCCTCCTAAAGGGTGTCGTTTGCCCCATTCAGGCAGGAGTGGATTGCAGTTTCAAACTGGCCTAAACTCGCCTCATTAGCACACGCAACGAGACTCTAACTCGGATTGTGGTTATGAAGCATACAATCTTGACAGACTAATGAAACCGCAGTGCCCTCTTGCCTGAATGGGAATACCATTTGAGAAGCAAGGATATGTGAACTTTAATGGGAACGTAAAACCAACTCACACTTGTGGCGAAAGTCACCTACCAGTCCTTCATCAACTTAAATGAAAATAGATCTCAAATATACAATCTAGCGGTAGTATCGAAAACCTATTTCTAAACGAAACATAAGTCGATTGTTATATCAAATCGATAATCCCACCATAGGATGTGATATGAGAAAATGGCTGGCGTTCTTTGAATTTCACATTTGCCCATCCAATTCGAATACATACAACGTTGTTGACTCTAGCCGAAAATGCATGTTTGATTCATTGATATTGTCACTATAAAAATGTGGTATGTGAAAGGTTTTGTGAT